TGCTTTTCGCTCTTCCCCTGTTGAGAGCCTCTATAAAAGAAGCGAAAAGTTCCATCCTTGTCTGATCGCCGTGATGCCCATTGCCTTCGCTACTATGTACGCTCTCACGATCTACACAATCCTTCCATTTATAGAATGGTCACCGATATTAGTAGACATTCTTTATTTTTGTTCGCCGCCCCTGTTTGCTCCGTCCCTTTTCCCCTTCGCCTACATTCACTCGTCTTCCCTTCAGTTACCACCTTTATATGTTCATGTAGCATCTCACTTTTCCCTACCCCCCTGGGAAGTTCCAGCTGTTCGGGTCTGTTCTTTTCTCACTCCCTTGCTCGAAAGCTCAACTGCCTACGGTGGCTTCCTGCTCTCTTTTTCTTGATCACTTCCACTCCCATTCTCATGCCACCGCTGTGTACACAGATGGGTCTAAGTCTTCAGACGGGGTCGGATTCGCAGCAGTGTTTCCGGACAACGTCGTGCGGGACATTTACTATCTTCAGCTAGCATTTTTACTGCTGAACTGTATGCCATTCTTGCAGCACTTATTCGTAAACCATCTATGCCTGTGTCATCATTTGTAGTAGTCTCAGACCCCCCTTAGTGCTCTACAGGCTATAAAGAAAATTTGATACATCTCATCCCCTAGTTGTCCGTATCCCAAATTTGGCTACCCTATCTCTACCAAACATAAAGATATTGTTTTTTTGTTGGGGCCCTGGTCATGTCGACGTACAGGGCAATGAACAGAGACACTGCTGCCGCATCAGCAGTACATGACCTACCAATTTCCTATCGAGGTGTTCCATTTCTGGACTAATTTTGGGTGCAATAGCTACCCACCTTCGCACCCATTGGCAACAACGTTGGTCAACTCTGCTCGGTAAAAAACTTCATTCTATTAAACCGAGCATAGTTACTGGCCGTCTTCTTGTCATCATGCCGAGGTTGGGGGACCACTCTCTCCCGCCTTCCTCATTGGTCACACTCGTCTTATTCATGGGGATCTCATGGAGAGGCACCCTGTTTTCCCCTCTGTGAGCAGTGTCAAGTTCCCGTATCGAATTAGCCACATTCTCTTAGACTTTCCCTCTCTATCAACGAGCACGCAGAATTTGCCTCCAACGTCGTCTCTCGTTAAATACTCTCTCTTTACCTTCCCTTCTTGCTGATGGACCCTCCTTTAATCCTGACTCTCTCATTGACTTCTTGACAACGAACTGATTTACTCCACAAACTCTGATGATACTTTTCGCACTCCCCTCAGCCCTTTCTAGTTCAGTCTCTTGCTGCCCTTTACCCTTTCACCATCCACTGCCCCGCTGTTATCCGTAACCTATTACTCATCCATCTCCCTTTTGCCACCTGATGCCCTCGCTTCCTTCCTTCCCTGCAGCGCTGTATAGTCCTTGTGGCTTAGCGCTTCTTTTTGATTATAATAATAATAATTGTTTCATTACAATTGAACACTTGTTGGGGTTGGAATTTTTCAGCTTCGCCATGCCTTATGACACTGTGTATGCCACTCCGATTCTTAAATCTCTCAAACCAACCTTTGCTGGCCTTAAATTCACCAATATGAGCACTGATTCCAGGCATTTTTTCCTGTTCACCTGGGTGTTAGTTGACTGGTGTGGGTTGCATCCTGGGGTACAAGATTAAGGACCCCAGTGGAAATAAGTTAGTCCTCGTTGACGCACTGACTTTCTTGGGTTATCCTGGGTGGCTAACCCTCTGGGGTTAATTGTTTCTCGGTATTTGTTTCTCGTTAAGCCACACCAAAAACACTCTCCACATCTTCAAGTAGTACAGCTGATGGTGGTGGAGCAACAGCTGACGGTGGTGCAGCAGCAGCTGACCATGGTATGATAGTATTTCAATAGTATTTCTCACCCTTTTTACCACAGATTTGGCACTAGAAGCTTTCTTTGGGCCCATGGTGGCTTATGAAGCAGTTACACAAGCACTAAAAACAATGGAATAATACAAAATTTATCGAATATATGCGTGGAACCGTCCACCCTGGCTTACAAACAATGACAGCAGGGCAGCTGAGTGCTCAGGCTGGACGGACAGGTTCGGGACGAATCATTTGGTCGAGTTTTTCATTATTGGTCGGGCCAAAATTTTTATGCTCAAACACTTTGTTGGATGAATTTATCGTTAGATGATGCCTTCGTTGGCCAAGGGCCCACTGTATAAAGATATATAACATACCCCTCCAAACTGCCAGTATCCCAAACCCCTGGTTTAAAATGCAGGCATTGTACTTCCCATTTCGAGGACTCGAGTCCGGCTATATAAAAATAACCGATTTCCCTGAATCTCTTCACTAAATACAGTGGACCCCTGCCTTATGAACACATCGTGTTACATTAAATCCGCCATACGAAGCATTGGAACGCAAAAATTTTGCCTCGCCTCACAATAAAAAACTTGCCTTATGTGATTCGTCCAGGACGCGTCCTACGTGTGGCCTCAGCGCCAGTGTTTACAAGCCAGCCAGTGCAATCACCTCTACGCATACATTCGGTACATTTCACATTATCCGTGTTTTTAGTGCTTGTAACTGCAAAATAAGTCACCATGGACCCCAAGAGAGCTTCTAGTGCCATCCCTGCGGTAAAAAGGGCGAGAATTTGTATGGAATTGAAAAAGGAGATTAAGGAAATGTGTGCAAAGTGGGTTGAACTGCAAATCTTTATTGATGAAAATCACCCTGACACAGCTACTGTAAGCCGTGTTGGCAACCTGTACAATGACAATGTTATGGCCCATTTTAGGAAAGTCTTAAAGGAATGGGAGGTACAGAGCTCTATGGACAGATTTATTGTGCGACAGAGGTCCATTGACTCTCAAGCTGGTCCTAGTGGCATTAAAAGAAGAAGGGAAGTAACCCGGAAAAGGACTTGCTACCTCAAGTCCTAATAGAAGGGGATTCCCCTTCTAAACAATAACTTCCACACACACCCCTCTTCCCATCCCATCAATCATCACCAGATCTTCAATAAAGGTACGTGTCATGTATTCTATTCTTAGTATAGTAGTAATTGTGCATGTCTTCTTCAGTTTGTGTGTGTTAAAATTAATATTTCATGTGGTAAAAAAAAAATTTCTTTTTCAAACTTTAGGATGTCAGGAACGGATTAATTTGATTTCCATTATTTCTTATGGGGAAAATTAATTCGGCTAACGATAATTTCGGCTTACCATAAGCTCTCAGGAACAGATTAATATCGTAAGGTGGGGGTCCACTGTATTACCCTGCTCCCACTCCAACAGCTTGTCAAGTCCCAAAAACCATTCGTCTCCATTCACTCCTATCTAACATGCTCATACATGCTTGCTGGAAGTCCAAGCCCCTCGCCCACAAAACCTCCTTTACCCCCTCCCTCCAACCTATTCTACGACGACCCCTACCCCGCCTTCCTTCCCCTACAGGTTTATACACTCTCCAAGTCATTATAATTTGATCCATTCTCTCTAAATGACCAAACCACCTCAACAACCCATCTTCAGCCCTCTGACTAACACTTTTAGCAACTCCACACCTCCTAATTTCCACACTGAATTCTCTGCATATTATTTACACCACACATTTCCCTTAGACAGGACATCTTCACTGCCTTCAGCCGCCTCCTCGCTGCAGCATTTGCAACCCATGCTTCACACCCATATAAGAGTGTTAGTACCATACCACTATACAGTACTTTTGTACATTCCCTTCTTTGCCTCCATGGATAATTTTTTTTTTTCTCCACAGATACCTCAATACACCACTCACCTTTTTTCCTTCATCAGTTCTATGGTTAACCTCATCCTTCATAAACCCATCTGCTGACAAGTCAACTCCCAAATATCTGAAAGCATTCACTTCTTCCATACTCCCTCTCTCCAATGTGATATCCAATTTTTCTTTATCTAAATCGTTTGATAGCCTTTCTCTTATCTGTGTTCACTTTGAACTTTCTACCTTTACACACCCTCATAAACTTGTCCATTAACCTTTGCAACTTTTCTTTAGAATCTCCCAAAAGCACAGTATCATCAGCAAAAAGTACCTGTGTCAACTTCCTTTTTGTATTTGATTTCCCATAATTTAATCCCACCCCTCTCCCCAACACTCTAGCATTTACTTTTTACAACTCCCTCTATAAACATATTAAACAACCATATTGACATTACACATCCCTGTCTAAGACCTACTTTTACCAGGAAGTAATCTCCCTCTCTCCTACACACCCTAACCTGAGCATCACTATCTTCATAAAAACTCTTTACAGCATATAGTAACTTTCTACCTATTTAGTAGACTATACAGGAAAAGGGGTTACTAGCCCATTGTTCCTGGCATTTTAGTTGACTTTTACAACATGCATGGCTTACAGAGGAAAGATTCTTATTCCACTTCCCCATGGATATGAAAGGAAAAGCAATAAGAACAAGAAGTATTAAGTAAAATCAAAGAAAACTCAGATGAGTGTGTATACATAAACGTGTACATGTATGTGTAGTGTGCCCTAAGTGTAAGTAGAAGTAGCAAGACGTACCTGAAATCTTGCATGTTTATGAGACAGAAGAACGACACCAGCAATGCTACCATCATGTAAAACAAATACAGGCTTCCTTTTCACACACTCTTGGTAGAACGGTAGTACCTCCTCAAATGGTCGCTGTCTACCAACCTACTACCATTTTGTACCTTATACTTTTAAACGTTTTATACTTTATACTTTTTATATATTATGTAGAATAATATTCCAGTCACTATAAACAGGTAAGAGGTTCAGTATAATACATACATTCTTGCTCCAAGGTGGACCCTGTTGTCCCTTCACTACATTGATGGATGTATAGTGTGATACTGGTGTTCAAGTTTTGTGGTGACTTCTCTTAGCATGATTCATGTTGTGATGAAGGTGTTGTGATTATTTAATATGTAGTTTCTCTTGGCATGGTTCAAGTGTATACATTACTAACTTGATAATTTTATTTCTTTTGTACAGGGCAATGCCACCCTTCATCTCTACCCTCACTTCAAGGCTCTTCAAGAAATTGATGGTAAGAATTTTGACACAGGAGTTGATTTTGAGCTGATTTGCTCATGTGTAATTATGTATCATAATGTGGCTAATTACTTCAATAAATATCTAACCTTACCAGCATTTTTCCATTCTGTCTTAAGGTATTTTCAAAATTTGCAGTGTCACATTTTTAAGACTAAATTAATTTTTATTAACTAGAAAAGACTTAAAATAGAAAAAGATGATACTGTATTTTCTTTTGTGGTGTGGTTGTGACAAGACATTATCAGACTCTTCCTGTCTTGGGTCAAACCAGAGTGCACGTGTGCGGATATACCAGCTGCGTATTATCTCTCTCCCCAACAGATAGTTTCAAGATTCTTTCACTGCTTTTCAAAAAAATCATTATATCATGTGCTTAATGCCACAATGAATATTCGACTTTTTTGTATGCTTGCTTTTGTGTGTATGATGCACAAAAAACTCAGGGTTTAAAAACTAAATCTACAAACTACATTTATTACATCAGCTTGAAAGTACAGAGTAAGGCATTTACTTGAAAATATTAAACAAATAGGGAGGATAATTATACTTGTGAAGGAGAGACTCGGCTACAAAACATCCTGTTGATGTAATATATTTTGTGTCACAAGGGTTTGTTCTGGTCCTCAATTTTTAATTTTTTATTGTTTACAAAATACATCTGGTTATTGGTTATGTCATATTAAGTCTCTATAGCATGTATTAGTACATAGTGCCCTTGTAAAGCCCACATTGCACTCAGCAATGTACTGTAATATGATACAGGTACAGTATAATTCAAGACTAAATTCCATTATTAAATAAAATTTAGTTACTTTTAATTAAAATGCAATAGTCTATTATATGTGTACAGTGTGCAAGTATTAATGGATTACATGTACTGAAATTTACAAAAGTTAAGAAACTATCGGTATTGAAAGAGACAACACTAGTTTCATTGTATTGTAGCTTTTATTTGCCAGTTTAGTGTTTGTTACTGTTTTATTGTTTATTATTGTGGAGCATGTCTTCTTGTACAGTATTGTATCAACCAGATTACTATTACTTTTTATTACCAGATATATATTGAACCATGAGGTGAAGGATGACAATCTTGGACTTCATAATAGCTTTATCACCTCATTGAAGTATGTTTTGTCTTTGTACAGTATGTGTTATAATAACATGTGCTATACAAAAATTGCTTGTTTTTGAGGTGGGTGATGTAATACATTTATAGGTGTATATACCAGTAGATGATGTTTGAATATTTTAATTATTACCTAGATGAGAGTATAAACTGCTGAATCAGGATCAGATATTTTACTGATATGTGGTTGATTATATCATGTTTTCAGTTAACATTTTGTTACTAAAGGTATGGAATAGTAGGTCTTGAACTTATGGACTGGTCCTTGTCAGATGCATGCTTGTACAATTTCTTCTATGCTACATTCACAATATTGGTGATTCTCAGTTTATTCTGTCACTTTTCATGTTCAAGACTGACATCATTTTGTTTTTAAAAAAGAATGGTGTCAGTGATGGAATGAATGATAGCTGTTATTTTTTGTTGTCCTACCCTTGTAGGAGACTGCCGGTGTGTTAAAACATGAGAAGGATGTAAGGCAAAGCTGATAATGAATTTTATTAAGGTTTTATTTTATTGAATTGTTTAAATATGGTAGATTATTAAAAGTAGCTTATTTAATGGGAGTATTAGTGGTAGAATTTTATCATTTACCTAGAATGTCTTATAAATACATATATACATACTGTATATGAATCTTTTGTGATGAACAAGACATGTGCAACACTTGGGTACCTTTATTGCTAAAATGTTTCATCTGGGTAGCATTTCTCCACAGATGTAGAGATGGTGAAAGAAGTGGGTATCTTCAGCAGTAAAGATACCCAAGTGTTGCACATGTATCTTATTCATCAGCTTGTCAGTGTTCTATAGCATAAATATAATAATATCTGGAAGATAAATGCAGCTTAGCAGTGAGAGTATTAATGATAGGTAATCCATTATCTGGAAAGCCATTACTGGGTATTAATGAGTTTAATTTGTTTTGAGTCAACATTTCTTTCCTTCTACTTGTCTCACACTTCTCTGTAAATTGCCCCCCAAAATTTTCTATAGTAGTTTTGGCAGGAAATAAGCATATTTTACAATGTACACATTGGGCATTTTATTCAAAACTTGGATGTAATCTCGCAAAGACTTGAACACTTGATACTTTTCACAATGTAAACTTTAGATAGAGAGAGATAATCTGCATAACTCTTAATGTTGTATTAGTTCATGCAAGAACATAATGTTGCAGGCCATGAAAGGTTTTTTTCTTCAGTGTCATCATTACTTTCTCTCTCCCAGGCTTTTTCATAAATGCGTGCCAAAATGTTAAAGTATTGTTATACACAAGGAAAACTTGCAGGCTTTTCCAAATAAGGGCATTAAATATTCCAAGGTTTCTGATTGGATGACACAGGTTATTTATGTTTGTGTATCTTTATTTTTGCCTTAGTCCATCAGTTCATCTTGGAAGAATACAAACACTTTCCTTCAGATGAAGCTTTTCTTTTTTAAATAAATATATATATATATCTACATATGTTGAAATGTCATAATTATATTTTGGTAAAGCATTGTTATGAATGTATTAAAGGATTTTAAAATGAAGCATTCTCATTAGAAGCTACATTTTACTGTGTGGCATTCTCTCATTGGTGGAGGTAGGAGTTGTCCTTCCAGGGACCAGTTACATATTTATGGCATTTTTTTTTTTTTAGAGACCTTGCAATCAATTTCTTTAATAAATTCATTCTGCACTTTGTCAGGTAACACTAATAACCATTCTAAAGTGGAAAATGTATAAAAAACTAATAAACAGCTTTGAAGGATATGGTTTTGTAGTGCTTGTAACTCGACACTAAGTTTGAGGCTAGGGTGATAAGGACTGTCACATGAACGTCACCCACAAGGAGTGTATATATCCACCCTAGTATGCTCACATTTCATCAGAACCGTGACAGCTACAGTAGTACAAACACGCATCCTCACTTGTGTCCAGCATTCTTATTTCTTATAACTGTGGTGAAGGGCCTAGCCAGTAAAATGGATCCCTCTGACATTGTAGTCTTCTGTAGAAATCAGTGTGTGGCTGCTTTGTGGTGTACTGAAAAATCAGTGAATGTCAGTGTTACTGCCTGTGTGATTAGAAAGGTACTGTATTGCCGCTGTACAAGTAGATTTCATTTTGTGTGATAAAAACTTATTCCTTATTTATTCAAGCTTTCTGTGAGTTTGGTTAAGAATAAAATGTGGTTAATAGATCATTTTTGTGCAAGTTATTAATTGGACAATATTTTTAAGTCCATCAGTTAATAAATAACATGAATAACTTGAGAAATTTTTGCTACTTTTTAAAGTTCAAAGTAAAAATTTTTACTGTTGCAGTAAAGCCCTCATGTTTATCAAAAAACATATTTTTATTGGTGAGAAATAGCCATTGTTTATTTTATTTTAAAACAAATCATAAGATGTGTGTACTTTCATGATTTTGGTAATATTTGTGATTGGTTTGTTGCATAAAGAGGCAGTATAAGTGAATGTAAATGACAGAGTTAGAAAAGCTACATACTGTTAACTAGCTTGTGTGCACCTTGACCTCTACTCTTACATGTACAGCAGTACATTTGTTGGTGATGTACAAGATTGTTCTACTGTTTCCTGCAGGAATTACTGTGTTTAGAATGTCTCTTCTTTGGGCTCCTAGCGAGATTATAACAGCGAGCTGCCCAATGAAGGGCTGTTCTCAATACTGTAAATCTACTCTGGGGTCCTGTCAAGCATATACAGCAGCATTCTCAGGAAAAGCGATGTACTTAAGACATTTTCATCATCGTCTAATACAGTAATGCCTGTGCTGCTCTAAATATGTTCAGATGTACCACATAATTATTCTTACAATATGTATTTGAATAAGGAACCAGAAAGTAAAACAAGTCTTGTAATATAAGATTTTAATTTTGTCAATAATGTAATGCTATATTACAGGAATGTTATATATTTAACTTGAAATCAATTTAAAGAATTTACTTCTGCTTTTTCAAATAAATTCTTTATAGAAATATATTAGAAATGAGCATCTTGCATTTATTCAGTGTTTTCACACAATGTTAGTTATGTATAAAACAGTCAATTAAATTGCAATTTGTAAGTACATTTCTTTTGTCAGTTTGATTATAAGTTCACTTCATATAGGTAATGTTTAAATTAATATAACATAATTGCAAGTACCAGTCATTTTAAAGGCTTCTTAATATTTTTGTCAAATTAATTTCACTTTTGCACATTTGTAATTTTATATCCTGGTTTTCATGTGTAATTTCCCAATAAGAATTAATCTGGGGCTTCTTATAACATTTTAAATTTGTTGTAATGCATTCTTAAAATAATGAAGATAATTATATTGGCAGTTTGGAGAGATATATTGTGTATTTTTATACGTATATACTTCTAAGCTGTTGTATTCTGGGCACCTCTGCAAAAACAGTGATTATGTGTGAGTGAGGTGAAAGTGTTGAATGATGATGAAAGTATTTTCTTTTTGGGGATTTTCTTTCTCTTTGGGTCACCCTGCCTTAGTGGGAGACGGCCGACTTGTTGAAAAAAAAAATTATTTTATTCTTTGGAGAATACCTTTCATCTAATTTGAATATGGCCAAAATACTATAGGATAAAGGTATTTTGGGGAAAGTGTTAAATGCACAGCACTTAAAGTGTGACTAATATTTATTTTATACCTAAATATTTTGTGCATTTAGGTGAAAGTTGGAATAGAATTAAGAGGTATAGTAGTACTATAAAGCAAAAAACTGTCTTCACAGTTTGTCAGGCTGGGGTTGGAACTACAGTAATATCTATGATACTGCATATAAAACTAATAATACTGTACTGATCCTAATACAACGTATCTCCACCGTTCTGAAGGAGGGGTACAGTATGTTGCAGTTCTTGAAACTGTGGTATCAACACATCTCTGGCAAGACAATGATGAAAGTGTTTCTTCTCTTTTGGGTCACTCTGCCTCAGTGGGAAACGGCCTGTGCGTTAAATAAAAAAAAAAATAGTTTCATATAAATGCAGTAATAAGATACGACTTTTTAACTTGTATAGAGCTTGAAATAGATTAGTAATTAAATAATAATAATGAAAATAACAGTATAATGGCATACATAAAATAAGAGGAGAAATATTGTACGTTATACAAATATATTAGAAATTATGTCCTGAGACAAGATTCAGGACTATAAAATAGTATTGAGAGTAATTATAATACAGTTCTATACACTGTTTGATGAGAGATGTTAAGGAAATATAGGATGTGAAGTTAGTAGTCAGAGTTCTCTCTATATTATATTAAAAAAAATAGTACATATAGGCATTGATTTTTTAATATATATTAGTTTTAATTTTACCCAAAGTACTATGCTTACTATATACCTGTGTAAATCATCTAATTTTGGAGTAAATTATTTTTCATTTAATTGTGATCATTAATCGATTCTTTTTTTTTTTTTAATGTTAAAATTTCTTAACTGTTATTCCTTGTCAACTTTTCAACAGGTGTTGTGGATTACCTGAACACTGAGATTAGCACTTCAAAGCAGAAGAAGTTTAGCTTGGTAACATTTATTGACACTCCAGGTCTTGTAGATGGTGACATGAAGTACCCATTTGATGTCAACCAGGCAATGCTGTGGCTTGGTAAGTAATGAATACAGGACTCCTTAGCTTATAAATGAATTTCATTCCCAGTGCTTCAACTTCTACTTCTGTAACCCTGAACCTGTTATCTTGTACAAAATCTTCTCATTAGGAGGAGGGATGGGGGTCCTCTCAGAAATAGTTGAAGGGAGGGGCTAATGAAGATTTTTAAGTGCCATGGGCTAAATTTAGCATCCATTGGGCTTGTATGAGTGTGTTAGATCCAAGTAAGTGGAGACAGGTACTGCAATTTTTATGGTTGGACATGATGTTGGTATGTGAACTGCACTTTAGTTCTGGAGGAGGGCAGTACTGTGCCTGCAGTCTTTAACAGTTGAGTGAAGATGTTAAGATGTTGTAACTTGAAGGGTCATCTGAACTGTGATGTTACACTTCTGGCAGACAGTCATTGACTGAATGATGGTGATTTTTTTTTTTTTTTTGAGGGGTGGGTCACTCTGACTCAGTGGAAGATGACAAGTGTGTATAAAAAAAAAATTGTGGACCTTATTTGTAAGTGCAGTTCATAACTTGGGCATTTGTTAAGTCAAGGATCTGTCTTAGTAGCACAGCACTGATGATTATTGATTTAAAATATTATAATAAAGTGCATATTTTCATAACTGTATTATTGTATGTTTAGAAAGTTTAAAATTAGTTCAGATATATTCTGTAAATTAATTGACCCTAGTGCATTTAGTGCTTAATTTTGATTATAATGTAATTTAATTGCAGATATATTGGAATACGTTGAGTGTAGGTTGGACAAATACACGAGTGGTGATGGGCATAAATAGAAGCAGACTTGCATGGGTTAATAAAATTAATTCTTTTGTAAACTAATTCTGTTGTCATTTGGCAAGACAGCTATGGAATGAATGATGAACATGTTTCCTTTGTTTTGGGTAGCTCTACCTTGGTGGGAAATGACAGATGTGTTAAAAAATAAATTAGCCATATCACAAATATATTGGTTCTGCTGTTAAAAAGGTAATGTACCGTAGCATAACCTAAGAGTTGTAAAAGTAGTACATATTTGAAGTTAAACTGCACTGTAAAATTTGTTACTGTACAGTATTTAACCCTTAACCCTTTCAGGGTCGGTGTCATATTAGTACGGCTTGCACGCCAGGGTTGGTGCCATACTAGTACACACATATTCTAGCACCTTCAAATCTAGCAAGAGAAAGCTGGTAGGCCTACATATGAAAGAATGGGTCTGCTTGGTCAGTGTGCACAGTATAAAAAAAATCCTGTAGCACACAGTGCATAACGAGAGAAAATAACTCTGACCATGTTTTTTGTTTAAAACAGCGACTTTGCAGTGTATTTTCGTATGGTATTTATGGTTGTATTCTCGTTTTCTTGGTATCATTTTATAGAATGAAAGACATATTACAGAAATTGAGATGATTTAATTGGTTTCACAATGAAAAGTACCTTGAAATTGGGCTTATGGTAGCAGAAATGTTAGATTTTTGCCAATGTTCACAAGCAAACAAATCATGCCACGTGTCCAATACATGTCAACTGGTGAGTCTAATATTCTTTCACAAGTGTGCTGATATTATTTATACAATTTTTACACTAATGCAGTAGTCTGCATAACAGTAAATCTTCTATTTTTTGTGGGAATAAAAGTTCAAAGTGAAAAGCAAAAGAAATGTAAGAGGGGCCTGGAAATGTGACTAATGAACAGAGAAAATGCTATTTTAGTGCCAGGAATGTCTGTTTTGTTTATTCTGGACCCTATTTTGAAATTGGCATCTTTTGAAATATGTGTGAAATTGTCAACTTCTGACCACTTTATTGGATAGTTGAAATCGATAATTGGCTGGTTCCTTATACTCATTCGATAGAACAAATTGAGTTCTAACGAAATAGCTATGATTTTTGTTGACTGGTGCATTGGAATTGGCCGAAAATAGGGCTCGGGCAAAATCACTGATGCATAAACATCGTCGAGACTGCTAACTTCACAAGAGCATAATTCCATAAGTTTTCCATCAAATTTCATACTTTTGGTGTCATTATGATTGGGAAAAGATTCTCTATAGATTTTTTTTTTCCCCCCGAAAAATTTTCGACCCTGAGAACAAGTTTAGGAGAGGGTCTCTTGACCCTGAAAGGGTTAAACTGTTCAAACATAGATCTACGTTCGCATGCGTAGTTTGATTTTACATTGTTTCGTATGTAAAAAAAACATAGATCTACGTTCGGAGCGCTATGCGTGGAAATGTAGACCTACATTTGGACAGTTTAAGGGTTAAAAGAATAGGTAATTCAATATAGTCATGAGTAGAGTGTAGTGATTTTTTAGGAATAAAGTGACAATGAAGTAAATATTGTACTAATATGACTTATCAGTATCAAAAGTCTGTTATTTTCTAAGGATTGGTAAATACTGTATACATATGCTATCAAGTGACTGGATGAGTCGAGTCCTGTCCATACACATAACTTAGGCAAAAGTGGAGAATGAGTGACTTGGACACATGGAGAGTGTCTCTTTTATTTAATAACATTTCACTCTCAACACTATGCCCAGAGTGAAACATTCAATGAAAGCTTTACCTGTACATGTGTCTTTGGTCCTGCCCATATGCTTCACTCATTGGCTGTGTATATTCTGTTGGATGGTGCACACAATCATTGTTACAGATACTTACAGTTATGTAAAACTGTATAGTGATATTACTATAATAGAACTGCATAATATTATAAAGTTTGTTTATTTTTGTTACCATGTATCATATTTTAATATGAAACACCTCTCCCATCAGGTGACTTGTGTGATCTGATTTTTGTCTTCTTTGACCCAATTGGGCAAGCACTATGCAAACGAACTCTGAATATTGTTGAGCAACTAAATGAAACTCACCCAGATCGAATCCGCTTCTACTTATCCAAAGCTGATGAAGCTGGTCATGAGAGTGACAGACAGAGGTAAGTCATACTGCACATGCTCATCATAACTTTCAGTATTTAGAAAAGCAGATTATCAAACAACTCTTAAATGGATTCGTCTTTAAAAAAAAAAGAGTTCTATAGCATGTCACTTACACTTGTGGTTTGAAATTATCAATTAATCCTTGATATAAAGGGGAAGAGGGTAAGGGTCATCTTAGGAAAGGATGGAGGGAGGGGGTAAAAGGTTTTGTGTGCAAGGGACTTAGACATGCCGCAGGCATGTGTGAGCATGTTAAGATAAGATTTTGATCAGATTTTTTAACCCCAGAAGGTTAACTACCAAGGATAACCCAAGAAAGGCAGTGCTTCATTGAGGGACTGTCTGTCTTATTTCCATATGGGTCCTCAATCTTGTCCCCCCAGAATGTGACCCATACCAGTCGACTAACACCCAGGTACCTACTTGCTTGCTGTGTGAACAGGACAAAATTTGCAAGGAAATACATCCAATGTTTCCACCCCTGCCAGGAATCAAACCCTGGCACTCAGTGTATAAAGCAAAAGCTTTGCCAGCCAGGCCAAGGGAGTGAATGGAGATGAATGGTTTTTGAGACCTGACAAACTGTTGGAGTGTGAGCAGGGTAATATTTTGTGGTGAAGGGATTCAGGGAAACCACTTAGCCAGACTTGAGTCCTGGAGGTGGGAAGTACAATGCCTGCACTCTAAAGGAGGGGTCTGGGATATTGGCTGTTTGGAGTGACATTTAAACTGTCATATCTGGGTGCCTCTGTGTGAATGATGGTAAAAGGTTTTCTTTCTTTTTTGCATCACCCTGCCTTGGTGGGAGGCAGCCATCTTGTTGGAAAAAAAAAAAAATAAAGGCCTTTTAAAATTGTCAAAAATACAGTGTAAATTGTACTTTTAGCTCTCATTATTTTCAATGTTTATTGCAGTATATCTGTAAATTGTGCACGTTACAAGTTGTATTAGGTGGAGTAAGAGGCGACTGAAATGCCGGGAGCAAGGGGCTAGTAACCCCTTCTCTTGTATACATTACTAAATTTAAAAAGAGAAACTCTCGGTTTTCTTTTTAGATCATCCAGCCTTGGTGGGGTATGGGCCAGTTTGATCATTTTTTTTTTTATTTATTACCATTCTGATTTAACAGACAATCCCCTTATTAGCCCATTATATCGAGGGTTCACTGTATAGGATTTGTTATTCAAAAAACTAACAACTGTTCAATGTTTTGCCTCTAACAGGGTAATGATGCAAATTGTACAGGAACTATGCAAACGCCCCGGTCTTAACAAGACTGGCTTTGACATGCCGACTATTTATATACCAAATCCAAATAAGGTGAGCATTTTGTTTCTTGTACCTCTTGATCTTTTAATACAAAATGATATATGACTTATCAGCCAGAATTACCTGAAAATAAAACTGATGAAATCATTTTTTTTTTTTTGGCAGCCCACTCGATGTGTGAACCAGATTGAGGATGTTTGTAAAGATATAGAAAAGACTATCAATCAAACAATTCAAACTACATTAAACCAGTTGGAACGTGACTGTGAGCAGATTTCAACTCTTGTTGATGAGGCAGTTGAAGCGGATAATAGAGCTAGAGCATACAATTTCCGTGCTAAGGTAATGTTTTAGATATTCTGATCAAATGTATATCAACTTGCATAATAACTAAACATTCAGTTGAAATTCATCAGTATGTGCTTTAAAGTATTTCTAAAGCAGTGTTAAATGCACAAGAATATTTGAAATGTTTGCTGAAGATTTTATATGTAGGCCTTCTATAAGAAAGGGATTTGCACAGAGACCTGATTATCAAGAATGTATTGTAGGGTAATTGAAAAAAAGCACAAAGTGAGTTGGCATAGAGCAACTGCCCAGGGAGCTACTACAGTCCTGTCATATTTTTATTTAATTGTTGGAAAATCTGCTGTTATAGGTTTTTATTATATAAATGACCCACTCACCCTGTCATGTGGGTTTGAAACTAAAGCATGTTGACCCTTAACTGTTAAAGACCCTGAAATTAAATGTACCTTCTGTGTCACTTTAAAAAAAAAAAAATAAGAGCATAATTTTCTAAACATAATGGAACCACAAATAATGAAAGTGGTTCAATACCTTATAAGGGTGCAAATTTGAAATTGTGGAGCACTTGATGGCAACAGCAGGTCCTTCTGCTTGACACCCAATGTTTTCTTTTTTGCATTTTCTAATTTTGTATATATATTTTTACCAGTTATAAACGCTAGAAGAGGACACTGGTTGTTATCCAGTGTTTTTGCACTCAAATTTTTTCACGCAAAAATTCCATGATATAGTTTACATGTATACTCGCCAAACCTTAGAACGTTTTTATAGGTGTCAGTTTTTTACTGTTTTGAACATGTATACATTGTGTACACATGCTCTGTGTGTTGTTAGAGTTGTAGTGTGAAATCATTCAAAATAGGGACTAAGGCACAATGGTGTCCCACAGGACTTGCAGGTATATCCTGTATCTGCATTGTCGAGGTCTTCTCGTGGTGTAAGCACACACGTCTCTTCTGAGCTTTTTTTTTTTCCAGTTGGCGGACTTAGTGCTAAGTAGTGATTGTGATAACGGGACCAGGTTTCAGATGAGATGAAATTTATTGGATTGGAGTTGTAACCTGTGGTTTGGCTGGGCTTGGAATGGTATTTATTGGCATTCTTGGTGTCATCTTCACTCGCTTTCATCTCAGACCATGGAACCCCACATCATAATAACTGTCCTCAGTGTTAACACCCTTAAGGAACAGTAAATGGTTAATTGTAGTAGTAGTGAGGGATTCACATCTGCAAGTCATAGTTAGCAGGCTTAGAGGGCAGCTTTCCCATCATGCTCTTAATGATGCTGGATTTTTTGTATACTGTGCACACCCATTCTCTCATATCTAGGCCTAAATTTGCAGCTTGTGGCAAATTTGGAGGCACTATGAATTTGGAGGCACTATGCCACCAATATATAACCCTTGGTCATATTGGATTAAAAGTTTTGCTCTAGGAAAGATTGTGCTAAACATTAATATATTTTTTCATCAATAATCACTTTAGAAAAAAGTTTGATATAATCAAAGTATTCAATGATTTTTTTTTTTTTTTCAGATGAAAGGCTTGGCTCTCTCATCAGTTGGGTTTTTGCTTCCTGTAGCACTAATTGTGCAGATACTTGTGTCAACAGCTCCACGGGAGCTTGTAAACAGTCTGGCTGGAGAGAATTTTGCTAATGCTATTTCTTCCTTTATGGTTTGTATTTGTTAATTAGTTAAGCAACAAAAATGAAGAATATAGAATAAGTTATCAGCTTTATATACCAATACTGTACTGTACTGTACACATTAATTTAATGTAGTAAGCCATTGTCCACCAGTATCAAGAGCAGCAGCCCTCGACCCCAAAAAAATCACTGTTATATTAGCATTTCCTCTTCAAGGGGGGCTCCTTGGCGTGGTGAAGAGGCTCTTGGTCTGAGGAATTAGACCTGTCGGTCTACTTCCTCAGACCGAACCTAATTACCCCCCAATCCCCCGTTCCCTATCCCATCCTCCCCTTTTTCCTTTCCTCCTCCTCCTCCCCACCCCTCCCTTTTGCCCTTCCTTTTTGGCCTTTTTTTTTTTTTTCCCACAGGCACGCTAGTTCCTAGGTAAGGGAAAGGGTACTGGGGTTCATCCCATTCCGTTGAGGTTCTTGGCGGTGGAGTAGTTTGCCGTGGAATCTGGATTGCCTGGGGATGTCCTGATCCCTCTCCGGTATCCCGGAGGGTGGCTTTGGGTGTCTCTCGGGCGACGGGTGTATCTCTGGAAGCCACCTTTCGAATTCCGAGGGTGGTGGCCGAAGGAGGTATGCTTTGTGGCGGATTTCCGGCTGCCCTCTCTTTTGTCCACCGAGGTAGCTCGGCAGATGTGAGGTTGCTGTCCCGGATTGCCGGTTTACTGGCATGATGGGTAGGGTATGGCACGGGTTCCATGCTGCATCTGCGCTACTTGCGGTGCTGAGGTCCTCTTGGGCACGGAGGGAGATTTCTGGCCCTTTCATTCCTCCTAGGAACTATCCCTCCCTGGTCCCCCCTTTTTTTTATTCTTTTTTTTATTTTTATTTTCTTTTCTTTTTTTTTTTTTTCTTAAAAACAAAAAGAAAGAAGTAACCTAACCATGGCAGCCCTAGTCCATGAACCTGCTACCCCCGGGCCCCTTCTTGATACCGCACCCCGTTCTGACCCCGCCTCGTCTTTGGACCACTCTTCGGACACTCCTCATGCCTCTGTACCTCTTGCCGGTGCTGTTTCCTCACCCGCTTCAGGTACTGAGGCCTCGACTGACTCCTTCGATTTATCTGACCTTCGCTCTCCTGACTATGCTTCCGGCCTCTCCCTCTACGCTGCTGCAATTTTCGAATCGCCGGCCCGTTCCACGTCGGACCAACTCTGGTCCCACGCCTAAATGCCAATGACAATTACCTGCTGATGATACTTCTCCACCTTCTCGTTCTTCTCAGAAAAGATTGACACGTCCTTCACTACCTTTCCTCGCTCAGTTTCAGACTGCACAATGGACTAAATTCTTCACTTTACGACCGACTTCCTCTACTGCCTATCTTTCTGACCACAGTATTGGCAAGGCACTCCTATGCCATGTTGGTAAAGATATTTCTTTTCATGCTCTTAAGAGCGGTACGCGCATCATCACCGTACAGAATGCTACCCAGGCTCATGAGCTTTCTCGTCTTTACCATATCGATACTGTTCCTGTAACTATTGAAAAGCATCATTCCCTCAATTCTTGTAGTGGTACCGTCATTCTGCCCCATACCATAGTTCAACAAAATTTCCAGACATGTGGCACTGACATTCTTGAACAGTGGAACTCCAAGATCTCCCAATCCTCAAGGTTAGACACTTACGTTCTTCCTGCCCGTGGGCAGAGACGATACCCTAGCAATGTGGCTCGTTTAACTTTTGACAGCCGTGAACTCCTATCCTCAGTTTATGTAGCAGGACATCGGTTACAAGTTCGAAAGGTGATCCCTACACCGCAACAGTGTAGAAATTGCTGGCGATTTGGCCATCCAGCGAAATATTGCAGATCTATCGCCGAATGCCCAGTCTGTGGTGCCGATGACCATTCTAATACGTCTTGCAGTCGACCTCCCTCTTGCCTTAATTGTCATGAGGCTCACCCTTTGTACTCTCGCCGTTGTCAAGTTTACTTAAACAAGCGGGAAATCCATTACCTCAAAGAGGCAGAAGGTCTCCCTTATGCCGTGGCAGTTTCTCATCTCCGCCTCCAAGGGAGACTACCTCGTGTTTCTTATTCCCGTGTTTCAAAACGTCCCCCCACTTCTGGTATCCCATCTTCTGCACCCACCTCTGTGGTTACCTCTCCCATAGTCACTCCTGTAGCTAATTCTTTTGCTGTCCTCGGCTCAGACGTCCCTACTTCAACGTCTCGGTCTGATCTCGCTTCTTCATGTTCTCTCTCACAAGCCTCAGTAGCGACGAGATCTCGTATGACACCTCCTCCCAATCGTCCCTCTACTTCTCAAAAGTCAAAAAAAGGTCCATTAACACCTCCTACCCATCTTCCACCTCATTTTCCCTTCCCTGTCTCTGTACCTGGTTCTCCCCCTCTCACTGGCTCTGTTACAAGTGTAGATGTTCACCCTCCTCCTCGTACTGTACCTTCCTCCCCTGTTCCCTGCCAAGTTTCTTCCTCTTCTCCCACCTCCCAGGTTTCTGCCTCTTCTGTCCCCTTCCACGCTTCTCCAGTTCCCTCCACCCTTTCGCCTCCCCCCTACCTTGGTACAGTCCATTACAGTTCCAATCTTTACTCATCCTCCCCCTACCATTTCCAATATTGTCTCCCATACGACGTCTCTGAATTCTGAAACACTTGAAGCAATCTCTGAATATGTTGCAGAGACCAAACCATCAATGGACACTGATCCACCCTCCGCTCCTTCTCTCTCCTCTACTCCATCTGCGCAACTCCTTTCTTCACAGTGCACCGTTCCTTCGCTGCTTGAACGTTTTCCACTGCCTCCGCATGTGGACTTTTCTAACCCCTCTAGTCCGTAGGAACCCTTACCTGCGGATTTCAGGTACCTTTATCATTGCAAATCATGGCCTATTTACAGTGGAATATACGTGGCCTCAGGGGTAATCGGGGTGAGCTTCAGATGTTACTCTCCCAGTTTTCCCCTGTTGGTGTTTGCTTACAGGAACCAAAATTACACTCTGCTGTTATCTCTCCCATCTCAGGCTATAATTTATTGTATTCTTCAGATCCTTTTCCTGATGGGACCTTTAATGAAAGTGCCCTTCTTCTATGCACTGATATTCCGTACCATCACCTATTTGTTTGTACTTCGGTGCATTACACAGCAGCCCGTATCCACTTGCATAGGTGGTATACGCTCTGTTCTTTATATCTCTCTCCTTTTCGGGCATTATCTATTCCGGATATTGCCTTTCTTGTTTCGTCATTACCACCACCAATTCTGTTACTTGGTGATTTTAATGCCCACCATTTCCTCTGGGGGGGGTCTCACTGTGATTCCCGTGGCATTCAGTTAGAGGCTTTTCTTGCCACCCACCCCCTCCATGTTTTAAATACAGGTACTCACACCCATTTTGATCCTCGGACTCTCTCTCTCTTGCATCGATCTCTCAGTCTGCTCTTCCTCCGCCGCATTAGACTTCACTTGGTCTGTTCTTCCGGACTTACATGACAGCGATCATTTCCCAATCATTCTTACTTCCCCTTCATATTCACCACCTCTTTGCATCCCACGCTGGCAATTTGATCAGGCAAATTGGAACCTTTACTCACACCTAACTGTTTTTAGAGAGGTTCCTTCTTCGTCCTCCATCGATGAGCTTTTACACCTCTTCTCGTCCTCCGTTTTAACCGCAGTTTCTCATTCTATACCCCAAACTTCGGGCAGGCATTCTCAGAAATGCGTGCCTTGGTGGTCTCCTGCTTGTACTCGTGCAGTACGTTTGAAACGCGCTGCATGGGGCAGGTACTGGTACAATAGAACCACAGAGAGACTTCTTGATTTTAAGCAGAAGCATGCGATCGCTCGCCGTGTCATCCGTGACGCTAAACACACTTGCTGGCGAGATTATGTCTCCACCATCACCTCTGCTTTCTCTATGAGTGCAGTCTGGAAAAAAGTACGAAAACTGAGTGGTAAATATTCTCCTGACCCGGCTACTGTTCTGAGGGTTGCCGGTGTTGATATAGCAAACCCACTAGATGTTGCCAATGAAATTGGCAATCATCTGGTCCGTATTTCTCAGGGACTCCATCTATGCCCCTCATTTCTTTCCTCAAAGTCTGCCAGAGAGTTAGCACCCTTGGACTTTTCTTCTCAGAGAAGAACAGTATAATGTGCCTTTTACACTTCAAGAACTGGAGGCAACACACTCAGCTTGCCGATCATCGGCAGCTGGGCCCGACGACATTCATATTCGTATGCTACAACATTTACATCAGTCAGCCCTTGCAGTCCTATTATGCCTTTACGATCTTATTTGGTCACAAGGAGTTCTTCCACAGCTGTGGAAATCTGCCATTGTTCTCCCTTTCCGCAAACCAGGCACTACGGGACATGAAACCTCCCACTATCGTCCCATTGCTCTTACCAGTGCAGTTTGCAAAGTGATGGAACGCCTAGTAAATAGACGTTTAGTGTGGTATTTAGAGACACACAACAGTCTCTCCACTCGTCAATATGGCTTTCGTAAGGGACGTTCTACCATAGACCCCTTACTACGCTTGGATACGTATGTTCGTAATGCGTTTGCGAATAACCACTCAGTTATTGCCATATTTTTTGACCTTGAGAAGGCATATGACACAACTTGGAGGTACAGTGGACCCCCGCATAACGATTACCTCCGAATGCGACCAATTATGTAAGTGTATTTATGTAAGTGCGTTTATACTGGTATGTTTGGGGGTCCTGAAATGGAACTAATCTACTTCACATTAATTCTTTGGGAACAAATTCGTCATACTGGCACAGAACATACTTCTGGAGTGAAAAAATATCGTTAACCGGGGGTCTACTGTATAATATTTTAGCCCAAGCCCACTCTTAGGCCTTCGAGGCAACCTAGCCAACCTTCCTATAAGAAACTTTTTAACTGACGTAGGCATTTCTGTGTTCGGGTTAATAATGTGCTCTCACCCGGATCATGATCCAAGCGAAGTGTCCCCCAGGGATGTGTCTGAGCACAACCA